ATCTGATTATTCGCGGAAGCTAACGTGACGGGGCGAATTCGAAAGTAACGCCGGGCAATGAGTTTTCGAACGTTTCTAATCGATACACACACCCTCGTGAAACGCTTATGTGGTGTTCACGAGTTCGACGCAAATGCGTTATGCTGACGCAAATGCTGTTCTGTGAGTTGGTAAGAACTTGCTTAAAAAAAAAAAAAAAAAAAAAAAAAAACTGTGTTCGAATGGATAATGCTTTGGACAGTATTTTTTTGTTATTTTTTAACAAGCCCTAACCAATTCACAGATCAGTATAATGCTTCGAACAATTCAAAGAAAACAGACTTTTACCAATTTTGGTTAGGAAAATGCTCTGGCATTTAGCGAAATAGTTTGGTGTAAACCCGAAATGGAAGTGTTTACAAGGCATTTTTCGTACTTTTACCACCGCCACTACGGTAAATATTAGGATTTCCCGGTAAAATCTACGATATCGAAATTTTCAGACTTTTACAGTAATACATATACAATCACGTTTCGTATTAGAATTTATTAAATATTTTCCAAAGAGTGATATAATATCAAAGAAGTACAGAATATGTTAACCAACCAGACATCGTTCACACAGAAATATCTTACATTTATCTAGAAATTTTCCCACATCTTGTACACTAATAAAATTGCGAAGAAAAACGTTTTTTTGCAGTGACAGCCTACTGAAATCAGATTACGGACGTTTTGACCGCTATTTCCACGTCTTCGAATGACATGGAAAGGGGGAGAAAAGGGGCAGGAGGACAGGCGAAAATCGTCGAACGTTATAAATATCTTCGAGCTATCGAACCCTTGGGGCAAGCTTTGTATTGAATTCAACGTGGGAAACCCTCCCATGAAAATGGGCTAACCGTCTAGACGTATGATAATGGTATTTTTATACGAGCGGGTCGCTCCCTTGGAGTCACGCGAAAAATCCCTGAGGCGCGAGTACGGTGTGTTCTCGACGTAGTGTGAAAACGAGTAAAGAAACGGTGAACCTTGGTTTCCGCTTGATGTAATCCCACGGAGTAACGGTCTCTTAAAACCCGGTGACCGGGTCAATCGTGATCCATAAGAAAATTTCACGAAACATGTAATACTTGTCGCAAGACAATGTTCGTTTTCTTGATGATTGCGTTTGGTTGATGGGTCACTTGTGACTTGGTCATCGGTCGAGGCGAATCGATCCACCGTTATCTGCTATTTGATCCCATAAGATTATTAACGTTTAGAATATATTGTGATCGAATTTTCCATGTAGTAATGTCGCAATATATAAACTTTTTTTGATAATAACTTTTTTACAAACGGCGACCCCCAACTAAAACCGTCACAATGTTACTTACAGTGATGATCTTGACAACATATTAAAAAATCATCGAAATCGAAGATTGCTCCCTTATTGTAAATTTTTACCTTTTCCTTTAATTAGCATAGGCTCGTAACAATAGTTTCATGCTCGATGCATCGATGTGATAAAATAATGTAAAAATGTTTCGAAGAGAAGAATCAAGAACCGTTTTTCTCTAATTGTTTTATAGGCAGTCAGTGGGCGTTAAATACCATTTTTGCTTCATTCAGACTAAAAATTGTTTCCTCCCCATCCCCACACGAAAAATTTGAATACGAGAATTTCGCATAATTAGCGGGCAACGATGTCACCTATGGGGTGGCGAGTGGCGAGTGGCGCTAGTTTCGACCGCAGCCGTAAATGGCGGGTATTTTTGCCTGTGACCGCAATATGCGCTAATTTCATTCAGCCAACGCCAGTTGGTATTAATTTTCCACCATCCGCGACAGAATCAACCGTCCCTACATATAAATTCCGTCGCGGTTTGTTGCTCGGGTGTATACAGGATGTCCCAAAAAAATGGGTACAATCCGCAACATGGATATTCCTCATGCAAATAGAAATCGAAACGTCCTTCAGCGTTTTGTAATCTGAAGCTCCGATTGTTCCATCTTTTTGGGACACCCTGTATATGCGAATGGTGTTAATTTTATCCACGACCGTCTTTAGACCTTTCACGAGAAGCAGGCGTTACCCTCGTTTTATCCTCTTTCGCTAATTTCGTGCACGTCCACCGATGACAGCCTACAAATGATCTGTCGAGTCACCGGACTGACAAGAGAAGACGGTCTCGAATTCGGGTCACCAATTTTCATGGAACTTTTAGGACATGTAGTAGACTTCTCACTCTTATACAAATCACCCCTTATATCCCTGTATGATTCTCAAAGTCCAGATGTAGATGGCCATAAACTTTTGAGAAATTTCACATTCAAATTTGGAAATCATGACATGATTAAAAAAACTAACTACACTGGCCGATATTTCTATAACGTCACCATGTTTTTTGACGAATTCTTATAATTATGTCGTAACAATGAAAAATTTGTATTTAGTAGCAGTTTGGGATTAATTATAGAAAGTGTACTTATCTGTTTCAAAGAACGAATATAACATTTATTTTAAAAAAAGAACGAAAATATCATTCAACAGAAAACAAACTGAAAAATTACTATAAAGCCATTTGCTTTTTTCATAACTGAAGTTGAAATTAACCATTTCTTTTCACTATTTCTCTATTAATACTTAGTGTAACCTCCATTTTTTTTTAAATGAAAATACAAAAGCAGGTACGATGGAGCAATAAAATTGGTGATTTTGAAAATATCTATAAAAATGAAGATGATTTTATAGAAATTTCGGCTAGTGTATTTTCAAAGCACCACCAATTTCATTGCTCCATCGTATCTGTTTTTGTATATTAATTCAAAAAAATGCAGGTTACATTAAGCATTAATATAGAAATAGTGACAAACATTTGTTAATTTCAACTTTACTTACGTAATAAGCGAATGACTACAGAAATTTCACAGTTGCTTACTATTAAATTGTATTTTTGTTCTCTTTTAAAAATAAATGTTATATTTTATTTTTTGAAATCAATGTGTACACTTTCCTTAATTAATCCCAAAATGCTAATAAATACAAAGTTTTCGTTGGTATGAAATAATTATAAGAATACGTCAAAAAACATGGTTATTTTATAAAGATTTCGGTGAGTGCATATGTTATAAAGGAGTCCTTTTATCATTTGATTTACAGGTAAGACGATAGGTTGTATATATTCTTTTAATTATCAAAAGTTAGGGCAATTTTTTATATACTTAATAAAAGCATAGGTATACATATAGATTTTCAGATTAATTGCTTTCACATTGCTTATACAAAAAAATCCTAAAAAAAATCGATATTTATTACTATAAAAAAAGGTGATTCCCTCCTTAATAATCCCGTAGCGAGGGGTACACTTCGAGTCGCGATCTCGTTCCCTAGCGATCAGATCCACGCGCGAACGACTCGATTTATCCGCGTCGCGGAGTCAATTTCTATGGCGTTGCGGCCGCAACGGTTCCTCTGGCTAACGAGATGGCCACGCGTTGCTGCTCGATCATTAATATCCAGCGAGCCATAGGATGGAAAAATGTTGACTGGACTGGAGATATCCCATGGGCGAATTAGCATGTAGCCGGGTCTCCGCGATGATCGATGAACTCTCAGTTCCCCCCGTCGCGATACAGGTAACAGGAAGGGACGAAGCGGTGTTAATTATCAGGCTTCGCGTAATAAAACGTCTTCCGTTCTTCCGCCGTACCTTTTTTCCCCGCTTCGTTTTTCCGTGAGGTTTTATCGTTCGGCGAAAGATTTGTTTCCGCGGAAACTCGATCCTCTCCGTGATGTTCAAAGGGATCCTCCGTTCGGTTCGTACTTCTTCCCTCGAAGATCGAGTGAGTGATCGAGTTTGATCGATAAATCGTTGAAATGTCTTTGTCATAATATAAAAACAGTCGTAGGGTCATTGCAAGCTAAATCGATCACTTTTTGCACTCGCTATCTGAGATTTTGTTCAGAATGAAATATGTTGTAGTCCACGTGAAATTAGGGGGATTTAAGTCATCACTTTTCTGTTCCCGAATTTTTGTAAAAAATACAGACCGCTGAAATGTTTTATTTTTGCCTATTTTCGTGAAACAGCGATAGACTTAAGAACTTATATCTCGGAAACTTTATCGTATCGAGTTCGTTCTTCGATCATTTTAATCTAGAAGGATTGCCCTACTATAATAGTATTTTGTTATAGGAAAGATTAATTTTTTTATACCGAAAATTATGAACAAATCCTTTTTTCGCGATTTTCTCTTTGCGGGGCAAGGGGTGTTTAAATGTTAAGAAAATATGGTCATGTTCCGTGAAATCTTACCTGCAAAATGAGCTCTTCGGAAAGATGGAGCAATTAAAGTTAGCCTCGTAAGGAACTGGAAAAGTGACTGGTGTACTCTCGTTTCAGGCAAGTTCTCCGCAGCGCGCAGTGGAAGAAACTGCTCGTTTTTCTGTCGAAATCGTCGAACTTTTGATAGAAATAAGATAGAAGAATCTTTATCGAAGTTAAAGCTAAGATATTGTAGAGTCAGGAAAAGTCAGGGAAAAAGTATCACGCGCAAGTTTTTTGCCCTTCGAAATCTATGTCAAACCTGACATTTTTTAAAGAAATTGCAGATCTTCCACTATAATGTGTGGTTGAATTTTTCCTTGACCTGTTATACATCATTTCCTACAGATTTCGACAAGCTGATTTCAATCTGGCCGCAGAATATGTCTATCCTTTTAGCATTAAAAAAAAATGCGATTTAAGGGAAAAAAGTCGATAGGAATCATGATTATTTTAATTTACATGCTTTGATAACACTTTAATTTAAATTTACGTCGTTGTCAATACATGTATACGGACTAAATTTTGATTACAATTTAACTACAATTTCACTACAATATAACTATAGTTTGACTACAGTTTGACTACAATTTGACTACTTTAATTTTCATGGATTTTCTTTGAAACGATTCGATCGACTAAAATCTTCAACGCGTTTTTTCTGTCGAACGATGGAGGAACTGTATTAACGGATGGTTCTTTTATTTTCAGGTGCGAAGGTCCTAGGGGAATCGGTGTGGCGCCCGGGGTTGGACTTACTGGGTAAGAGTAATTCATTGAATCCCTATTAGAGTAAGCACCCACCGGTGAAACTCGCGGCCAAATGACACGCGCGTTCGCCTTTTTCCTTGTCGGCCGGCTTGCGTGCCGCCGCGACGTCGCCGTAGGAAAACGTAACTGTAATCTGTCGATGCCCCCGCGCGAAGGTAATTAACTTTCACATGGAAAAATCGGACGCGTGGTCGGAGCCACGTTCTCTCGATCGACCAGACCGTAGTTAAGGCAAGTACTACCACTTGTAATACACTCTCGTTCATTAGCGTCGGCGAATTTATCGAACAGGAATGGGAAACTCGAGGAGCAAATAACTCGTTACGAAATCATTGAGAATATCGAATGAAAAAAAAAAAAGACTTTGCAGTCGCATACAGGGTGTCCAGAAACATTAACAGCTTGACTGACACAGTGAAAAGGGCCGTATGTAGCCAGACATACCTTTTTACATTCTTTGAGGTGGCTTCCGCAAATTTTTAATAATTATACATTTAGTTGAAAATTTAACAGAGCATTCTTAAAAGCTGCAAATTTTTCCAATTTTTTCTTAAAAATTGTAAAAAAAATTACTTCTTTTTTCAATTAGGAAACAAATTTTTGTTCTTTCCATTTATTCGTAAATTTTTTTCCATTTAAGTATTTTTAAGTAGTAACTAGTTTGCTTCAGTAGGTACGGCAATTATTGTGATACAGAATATTGTTTTCTCAAGGTCATATTTTCTGATATTTCAAGGTCATCGTCGTCTTTTTAAATAGTATAACTTATTTTGATTAGTGTAACGTTATATCTAATGAAAAGGAAAACCCAATCGTATATAGTATATAGTATGGTAACCTTCAAATGACTGTCAGTGACTGTCCTAATAAATTGTGCCTGAAGATGTTAACCTTCCCGACAACAGTAGCTTCTACTTATTTCAGGTGAACCCTATAATATATTTTAAAACTAGCTACAGTTTTCCCATTTATTATTATTAAAGAAAACTCCCATAACCAACGGCGAATACGCCTGTCAAAGAGACGGGGTGGGGGGGGGGGGGGGTCCCTTGGACGGGGCTGCTGAAGGGCTCGGAAAATTTTCAATATCCCCGACCCCGGAATTTATGCCGGCTGTAGTAGTAGAACTAGTAGGTCCACAACCCCCACTTCCGTTCCTTCGGCAAATTCCTCGCCGAAAAAAAAAAATATATATATATATCGTCGAGTAAAACCCCGTCGAAACTTCCATTCGGGTTCCCGACGGCCTATAATCCACTTATAAGTTTTCCCTTTTCTTAGGAATCGGCCGCCGCCGTTGGGTCCCTCGGGGGTGGGGGGCTGGCAAATAGAATTCTTCTTTATGCGTGGCAGGAGCGCCGCCGCGTATCGGTGCAAATATTAGATGGCTCTTCTTGATGGCTTTTCAGAGACAACTCTGTCCTTTGTACGACGGGTTGGCGTGTGTATCCCCCGATCGAGGGAGGAAGGAGAAGGAGGTGGATAGGTATGGAACGCCTAGGACGTATCTGAAATTCCTGGCACGCCATTCGAGCTTGGGTTCCCTCCCCTTGACGGTAGTTTATCCCCGAAGAGGTTACTCTTCCACCCCACCCCTCCCCACCCCCTTTTTTTTATTTCTTCTGTTGGCGTATTCATGCGAGTTCTGGAGACACGCAATCGACGGGGTCGTGGGTGAGGACCCAAGTTCGTTGAAACGGGTCGGCGATAAGGAAATTTCGTGTCCCTTCCCTCATCCTTTCATCTTCCTACAGATACAAATGAAGCATTTTTTTGCTTTAAGTATCTGTAAAGATACAAAAATTAACTTGTAATGTATAGTTTGTTTGAAAAAAATGTAGCTTATTCCTAGACCTTTCCAATGATATAAATACCTGCTCCCTCGGTCGAAATTTTTAATGAAATTTAGGCGAGACAGAACAGCACTTCTTGAGCCATTTTTCGCGGTTTCGGTTAAGAACCCAGATCTCAGTCATGATAAGTCTGATTTAAAAAGTCCTTTTGGGATTAAATACAGCGAACAATATACTACTTACACCCACTCACAAACCATGATACCTATCTCAAAACAGAAATTACCAATTTTTGTCGCAGAATTTTCATTTCGGGTCAACAGTGTAGCGTGGTGTATACAATATGCTTAAATGAGGTGTGGTTTCTAAGGATTCAAAACACACCACCGGTAAGTACGGATACCATTTCTTCCATAAACGGCTCATGGAGACCCAAGAAAACCTACGATTGATCCCAACATCTCGGACCCAGAATGCTCCAGGTCCCGAAACGATCCTCCTCCAAAAAAGAAAATACTCGAACCCTCTCCAAAGGGGGTTCAAGTAGCCTCTTCAGAATCCTCAGTCTCTTCAACGGTAATCTCCCTCGAGTGATTCGTTCGATCTGCTGAAATACAAGAAGCTCGCTTTAGGTGTCCCTTGTTTCCAAACGGTGTGCGTGGCGGATTGGTATTCCGTGATCGTTGTCGCGTGTGAATTCGTTGACGCTACCTGCTGGGGTGTCAAGTACGCGCGCGCGCGCCTTCCTCGGGTGTTGTACGTGAAGCTACTGCGGAAACGGGGGTAGGATTGCGTTAGAGGTGGGAGAGATCTTCGATAGCAAACGCGTTGTTTCGTCACGTTCGACCTTTCCTGGACAGCGGACGATAGAGGCGGACGGTCTCCTAATGCGGGGCACATTGCGTGCCATTTTTACGCCGCGAAATCGCTACGTGGTCAATCAGGATCCGAGGGGCGTGACGCTGATATTAAAGCGAGAAACCGACCGTTGCCCTGTCGGGAATCCCTCGAGCCATTTAGACCGATCGAACGATTTATTTCTTCTCTTTCTTACGTTTACTGATTTCCTCGGGATCGAAATAAATAGTCTCATATATAAAGTCTCCCAAAATAGCTTGTACTCCCGGAAATGAGGGGTTCTTAGGATGTGATTTGAAACAAGTTTCTCCTTAGCAAAAATGTTATCCGAGGCTTTGTTAACGAGATAACACTAGGTTCACAGACATTTCTTATACTCCTATCTCTATGGACACGCGTTAACGAAAACGCACATTTTCTTTAAAAAACAACTTATTTTGTTTAATACTTAATTTACGATAGCATAAATTGTCGCGTATCCGTAGGGATAGGTATACCATATAAATAATTTCGAGATTAGAAGGCATTCGAGATGCCTCAAAATGACGGTGTCCCCTAAACCTAGTGTTACCGAAAAACCCTCCGACCAATCAGAGCGCGAGTAAGACAATGATAAGATAGATAGACTAACTTACAAAAATTACTTGACTTTTATTTAAATAATGAGCATTTGTATTGTTTATATAAATTACGTCTTAAAAGGATCGTTTTAGATACCTTTTCCGAACTACGCAAAAAAGAATTATTGAGAGTGTAATTATACAGTGTACTGTGCTTCTTATGTGAAATGGTAGGTTTACAAATGTTCTCAGTGCTTCGCGTAACATTTGTGTTTACAAGCGTTACAAGCTTTACGAAACTCTTGGTAACTCGATCTATGCTTTCCTCGATAGAGAGTTAGTATTTGAGGGAGAGGGATGGAAGGTGGGACGATAATCGACGTTCCACTGTACAATTTCGATTCGTTATTTTCTGGTGGCCCTTGTTAATTCGCCTGACTCGATCGCGATACGTGGCGCGGCACCACGCCGCCAGAAGGGGGGGAAATAAAATAAAAGGGCTCCGCGAGAAGTGACGCCGCAGGGACAGAGAGAAAATAACGAGCGAACCGTGAATAACCGCCGCCGATTTATTTACGACTCGTTTCACCTTACGTTCGCACGAGGGTCTTTTTTTTTTTTGTTCGTCCCTTTTTATTTCGTGTCCGCCACGCCGCGCCGTGGCACATCGATTCGCGGATTCAATTGGATGTGGGAACGGCACCTCGTATCTTTACGATCTTGCTTCCGAACGAGCGATGCCCGAGGAAATTATGATTGCCGTAATTTTCCTCGGTGTAACCGCTTGATTAAGGTAAAACGTTGGAATTGTACGTTTCTCCGGGGTTTGTACGTGCTCGCGAGTGGTTTTTTTTTTTTCGTCACTCGTGTATACTCTGCGAAGTAGTGCGAAGTGATTGATGTCAGGAAAAACATAATTATTACGTGCTTTGATTTTTTTTCAGCTTCATAGATTCGAAAGAAATTATTTCTTTTGGGGGTTAAGTGTGCAATTATGTACCTAATAGTTTTTACGAAATATTATTGCAGGTGATATTGTGTGACTTGATTAATTGGAATGTAGTACTACGTGCTCCGATTTCTGGTTGTTTTAAAAACGCAAGACATACTTTTCCAGTCACAGAATAGAATTCATTGAATCATTATTAGCCTGCGGATTTTTATACAAAATAACATTTTATAAAGTGATTCATGAAGACGAGAACAAAACTAGGAATTTATTTCTTCTCTTAAATATGTTATTGGATTAAGAATAAAAAAGAAACCAGATTGCATCTGATGAAAGCTTTGTAAAATGTAAATGCATAAAAATCTGCAGTCCAATCATTATGTATTTCACTAAATTATCATTAAATTACAATTAAATTATTAGTCCATTCCTTTACAGAAATACTCATCGACACTTTTTCACTGACCTAATATAACACAGATTCGTAATCTTTTTCCCCAACATTGTCAGTACTAACACGCAAACAGTACCACACAAACTCGTACGCCACTTCATTCAGGAAACGTATCGTTCACCGTTTTCATTCACAAACAGTAGCAACTACCGTGGCCCATTCATGTTTCCTCTAACGAATCACAATCCATTTGAATTCCCGTGTCTTTTCCTCCTGTGATTCTGGTCCCTGCTCGTAATCGTTTCAAAATTACCAACGCGGTAAAAGGGCCGCCCGGGAATGGCCTGGTACCGTAAAGCATAAGAATTGTAATTGAAGTAGTAACGGTGAATCAAGAGGGTAGGGGGGGGGGGCACAATAAACGAGGCAATAAAACG